GTCGTCGGATCTTAAGGCCCCTAAAATAGTGAATGGTGACGGTGGTGGATCACGAAGCGAGCCGAATTACACGACGACGTCAGGACGCGACCAAAAGTACTTAGGGCGGTTCAAATCTGGGCCCGAGCAGTTAGCAGTAAGGAACCCGTTTTCTAATGGGTAGGCTTCTAAAGGTACCGGGAAAGAAAAGCCATTATTACACTTCTTGTTCCCAGAGCGTGTTTTTGGGTCATGTGGTCTTTCAAACGAACGCTTTGGAGTAATTTATCTTTTGTAAGCAAAATGCGACAGAGGATACATCAGTATCAACACTTGTCTTAGAGACCTGCTACAGAAATGTTTCAGCCTCTTCATACAGAGTAAGAGCTATTTTAAATTTCAAAATAGTTTTTATTTTCAATCGTGTTATATCTGTTAAGAAAAAAAGGACACTGGATTCTATCTGCTTTAGCATCGACGACGGCGATGAAAGTGAAAACATCACTTTTAAAATGAATTCGCGTTTTTTCAAACTTATGACGCGTTCTTATCACTGAAAATGGTAAAGGTCGGCGAATTTCCATGGAGTTGATTGTTGGCTTCACACCAGAAGCTACGTTAGTTTGAAGTAATCATTTGATTCAATTGTACTTGAAAATCTTAAGTCGCCCTGTAGAAAAAATGGTTTGAAACTTGTTGACAAAGTATATATATATATTACTTTAAGTACAAGCTTTCAATCATCTTTCGAGCTAAAACTATTTATGCATATCACAATCGTGATTGCTCGTCACAAAAGCTAAAACCTTTAGGCCTCTGCGCAGGAAAATAGTGTTTTGTAGTTTCGTATTTATTATTCGCGACTTTAACTCAAAGGGTTTTAACCCTGAAAGAGATGCTTACGTACTTTTTTTTCGACGAGTTCTTAGCAGCGGCACAAAAAATAACAACAACAAACGACATCTTCTGTATTTCTCTAGAATGGCTCGACAACGCGCTTTTCGTCAAAGAAATCGCGGTAGGGCTTGTGCTTGGCCTCTTTAGCAATGCTTTTAGCTAACCAAGACATGGATGTTTATCTGTCCGTTCATTTAGAACCTTGGAGGGAGGGCACAGTCCATGCTCAGTTAGTTTTACAGCGGTTCGCTTTAGGTTACTATTTTTTGTTTTAGTCAAGCACGGCACAGCCACTACTCGTTTATAATAAAGTACTCTCGTTTAAATCATCCGTCTTGGCACAAATCCTCTAAGATGAGACTCTATCTTTTATTTCAGTTTCTTGGTTTGGTATCGCGATTTTTCCCTGAAACAAAAAAAATAAGTTAAGGGTAGTAAATAGGGTACAATGGGATCCTTGAATAAACGCGATTGGCTTCTAATAAGCTACTTTCAGTAAATTCATGTTATAATTAACTTGTGGATGTCTTTCAAAGAATAAGTTCGCGGTAATTTTTTTATGAATTTGCCTTTTTCATTAATACCCGCTAATACCAGCCCCAAACTACATATATATTAGTTAGAAAAAAGCCTTCCATTGACGAAGTCATTGTTGCACATAGCATTCGTCACTTCACACTGGGATAAAATAAACAAACATAACTGCAGCCAATGGCGCCTTCTGGTTTTCAAGCGAGCTTCTATATACTTCAGAGAAGACGGTAGTTATTGTTGTCCTTTGATCCCTGACGTTCATATTCGCGTTCATCTTCAAAAACAAATTGCAACAAAGTTTAAGGAAAAAGGGCTCGTCTTCCCTTATTCTTACCGTTGGTGTCTTATGGCGAAACTGATGAACTGCTTTTTGCAGGCTTTGCAATGTTTTAGTGACCTCTATCAGCTTCGTTTGTACCTCATCTTCCCCCTCGGGGGTGTCCTCTTCTGAGGGAGTGGTGTCCTTATCGGGTTCCTTCCTTAGCGTATTTTGTTTACCAGAAAAATAGCGATGAATCAAATTTTTGATAACGACCCGTCGCTAAACAGAAAACAAAAACAAAAAAGGCGTGGTTAATGAAAATGTCATTGACTTAGAGTTCAATTTCGTCTGAATGTCATGATGACTGAGTTCAATTCCAATTGAAGGACTTTCCACATGTATGCCATAAACTCTATACGTGGCACATATACAGTAAAAACCCGCAAGTAAGAACCTACTTTTTATGGAGTTAGCCTAAACGGGTTCTTATTTAAATGGTAGTTAACACAATTTTAGGCTATTTAGGTTCTTAAATAGGTTCTTATTTCTGTGAAAAAAAGAAAAAAAGAAAGAAAAAAACAAGCTACAAAACAAGATGGTAATCAGCCTACTTTTCAATTTCAAAATGCCATACAATAATATTAACTTCTTGCACTTTATTTTTTTATTACATCAATAGATTAGCACTTTTATTTGCACAGCAATACTAAGCTCCTAATTCTCCAAACAGGATTCTTGCACAGCTTTGCCGCTGCATTTTGCTAATATGATTTTTCATTTTCTAGCCTAAACTGGTTCTTTATAGGGGGTATAAATGGCAAATTTTAGGTTAACAGGTTCTTAATTTTCAGGTTCTTACTCACGGGTTTTTACTGTAGCACAGCACGGAGAAATAAATAGTCTGTTACCTCGAGAAGATAGAAGAATGAGGAAGCAAAGGATACAAAATAGTTACCTTGTAACGACTAGTCGAACGTGAGTTACGTTTATAAGGAATTTAAAAACGATGTCAATAAGTGGCACCTTTCCATGCCTGCCTCCCATTCTTCCCTTCTCATTCTTTATAGATAATTGTTCGCTGAAGAATAATGGTTATTAATGCCCTTATGTGCGAAAAACTTTTGAAATTTGACATCGCTCCTCCTCGACTGAGAACACTGCACTGTCTGGCTAAATTATTAAATGACCACCTACCGATTTATGAAATCACTCATTTTTTCAAATGAATCGGCCGATCAAAATTAAGAAAAAACGCGTTGTGTTGCTGTGTCAATGTATTGAGCATGAAAGTACTATTTGACGACTCTATTTTTACGTTTCCATACTGGAGACAGGACTGCCACTTTACGTCGTCATCCGGCCGAGCCACTCAAAGTACCAGCCCTTTGCAAAGCAAAGGCACAACATTTATTTCGCAGTGTCCTGTAAATGTGGACCCTGTCAGTATATTGGCCAGACCCCGAGGGGTCGAAACCGCGACACACTCGCTCTGCAGTCAAGCTCTCTACCGACTGAGCTAGTCCAGCTGCGTTGTTTTAGAATTAGCACTTCTAAAAGGGAATTTTCGACAAGAACCCCAAATATAGGAGAGCCTGCTTTCTTCCCTCTTGATCGAAGCTAAGGTACACTTTCTCTTAGTCCGGCCCGTTTATTGAGATTGATTTACTTTGGTTATCACTATTCTTACTTATATGATGAGAGTAGAGGTTCATTCTAATTTTCTAAAAGTTGACATACTTACCCTTTTCTGATTAGTTTTAACTGTATCTGATGTAATTTCTTCTGTTTTGATACAACCAAGACACTAAAAAAGGATTACAAAAGACTCTATTGATAATACCATGAAAACAGTGCTTGAAGTAGCCAAAAAATGACAACAAAAACAACGACAGGAAACGAAAGAAAACGATCGTTTTTATTTCAGGCCAAGCATGCAACCTATCCGGATAGTTTTCAGGCGTAAAGCTTGAGAAACTATTTGCACGAGAATAGAAACCAAAGAAACATGCACATTTACGTCTCCTGACATGTGTCTGAGAATATAAGTTGTAGATCGATTATCGTAAGAAATATTTAGTAGATTTAAAATCTTGTGAGCTTGGTTCGAGTCTATAGTTGTTTTAGTTTTTACCAAAAAATTAATTCCTTTTTAATTTCTTAGCGTTTAAATCATTGTTTCACGTGGATGCAGTGAGGCTTTGCTACTTACTTACTTACTTTTTTAACCCAACTGTATCTTCTAGCAAGCCAACGGACTGCGGAGGCAATTTTTTCTACTGGTATCAGGTTAAATGGCGGTGGTAGAGGACTGCCTTCACTGATGTAATACATCCAGATACGCGTCCTCGCAAACTTGAATTTAGTGTCCTTCTCTTTCTGAAAGAAAGCAAATATAGACGTATAAAATACTTATAACATCAAGGTAATTTAAGGCAAAGGTCTTCAGATCTAGATGTCGTATCGATCTCCTACGAGTGTTGTATAAGAAAACTGTACTGTGTAATATAAACAGGGATTTCGAAGCGACTGAATTAAATCTCCTTAAAGGTAATATACCTGGTATCATTTATCACACAGTAATAAGCTCAGTTTATTTCAGAATACTTCACAACGCAAATCACTTTCAAAATAAGAACGCGTTAAGGTTTGGCGTAGGCTGAACTCCGGCCCGAGTTTTAACCTCTGACTTACAAGACCACTGAGAATTCCTAGACAATCAAACATCAGCTAGCCCCAGACTTTTTCAGTTGCAGTTCGTTTTTCCCTCGCGCGCATTTTGAGACAAGTTTAGTGACGACCAGTTTCTATGGTTACGAAATATGACGTCACAAATAGCAGGTGGTCAAGTCATTTTTTGATGAAAATCATGTTTTCAACTTCTTTCAACGATAAAAGTAAAGGTTGTGACCGGAGAAAATGAAGCAAAGTACTTATTCGTGTGTTATTTATTAGCGGGTCAAGCACAACATCAGGTCAGCATCAGCAGTGACAAGCTGATGCTTTGTTAGCTGTTGCCTTATGTAATTATAACTGTTAAGAATTTTGACTTCTTAATCTCATTCCCAGACCCCTTGTAAATTTTGTGTAAATAGTCTCGTCATAATCTGTAACGGTCACTTTAGAACACTTTTGAAAATGGTTGTTGACTAGCATACGATACGCCACTTATCAAAATACGAAATTTGACAACGTTTATCACCGCTGCTGGTGTTTCATTTTTGTTTAAACTACGATGGCCAAAAAACAAAAGTTTTCATGATATGTTTTTCTTATCCTTTCGTAAGCTAACCACATTTTTCTTTATTATTAATTATTATTTTCACGGTTGCAATATTTACTTATGCTATGTACGTACGTGTTACTGTGATAGTACATGCAAACTTCTCCTTTTATGGCTGAGAACACGTGGAAAGGGATGTTGGCGCAATACCAATTATACTGTTCTTGTGTGACCCATCCATTGGCACGTTAGTTTGTATGCGTTTTACAATTTTATTATAAACCGATTTTTGTAGACACAACATTGCACTTACATCAACCTTCTTGTATGAGTTATTGAGCATAGCGATCAGTAGGTTTAGTACAACCAGTATGGAAGCGAGGCTGTATACTGCGAACAAAATCTGTCCTGTAACCATGGTAATCTTTGAGTTCTCGTCCGTTTCAAAAGCAGAAAATTCGACATGTCCGAACAATGCCCAAAACAATGTCTCCACGGTTCCCTCGATTCTGTTAAAAGAACACGTACAAGCTATCTGTTAGCTCACATATACACTTAGTGGAACTGCAATTTAACGATCCTCGATAAAACGATGTTCTAGTTTAAAACTATGAATATTCTATGTCCCGGCAAAAGTTACAGTAAAATGTATGAAACAGAACCCAGATACCACGATATTCCCGGTATAATTAGAATTAAGCGGTATTATCAGTACACAGTCAAAATTTAAGAAAAACTAAAGTACAGTTAACTATTAGTTCATGCGTCAGCGTGCGTATGTCGAGATATTGAGCACGCGGGAAGTTTGGAGAGCACGAAAGAGGCGTGTGCAACTCTAGCCCCTTGAGTGTTCTCCAAACTTCCCAAGCGCACAGCTCGCTCAACAACAACACTCACCTCTTTTCCTTACTATCGGTTAACAAATTCAAACGTTTCCTCATAAATTTCCTTATAAAACACATAGTAAACGCTTCATCGTGCACTGCTGAGTTATGGATGCACTCAGGACAGTCAGGATTGCTAAGTTCACAACAACTAGAGGAATTACGAATAGTTTATTGACGTCATCAGTGTGCTCAATAGGAATATGAAGCACGTTCGCGCTATTGATTTGATTAGGCGAATTTTCTAGCTATGTTATAATAATCTTTAACGTTTCTGTCAACAGCTAGGTGCGATGATATATGAAAATGATACTGCGTTCTAAACCGGCCCCTGTTTATCAACTTTATCCTCTTTATCCTCCTTGCCATTTATTACATAGTTCTCTTACTTTCAGTATCTTTGACTCTTTCTTGTGATGAAACGTAAACGTTGCAGGAATTTCAAGGCCGATGCCTTTGTTCACGACGATACCATTTAATCAAAATCAATAATCAATAACATCAATAATAGTCAATAAAATCAATAACAACTAATTGGTTGATATTGAAAATCAATAAAAATCAAAACATTTTTTTTATTTGTCTTCATGATAAAGGGCTATGAGAGTCTAGTTTTAAGGGGAAGCGTTATTTTGCTATCATTTTGGAATTAGATGTACATTGTCTCTGTTTCCTACCTTTCAAAAGGGTGGGATGTATTAGTGGCGTTACGACTCTTGGCAACTTGTGCTGCAGTTAGCTGCACGTACTGGGAGTACAGTTTCCTCATGGCAAAAGCAAACGCGCAAAAATTCAGGGCAAAGAGCGCGAAAAATCTGACAATATCCTTGGTCATCATCATAAGGGACAGGTGCAGCGGTCCCAAAGTAGAGTCAACTTGGAGAAGATGCGAGGCTTCAAAGAATGTTAGAAGCACTGCAAATGCGTAGAAACTGTTTGATAGCAGCAAGAGATGATACGGGCCCAATGAAGAGGCATCTTCTAGCTTGCTAAGAGACACAGTCCAATCATCAGAATCTCTTGCTAAAGAAGCGTAGCCCACGAGCCATAGTACAGCAGCAAGAACGTAGCTAATGATCATGGGTATGACGGCAAGGTGCCACCACTCACCGAGATATCGTTCCATGCCTTGATACATGGCTTGCTTTATTTCTTGGACGATTATACCAACCACCCAGATACCAATAATAACAGCTATAAAAATAGATAAATAATAAATCAAGTAAAATGAATAAATATTCCTAAGATATAAATGCTTGACTCATTAAGCATAATTTGAACGAACGTAGCTCTATCACGAACTGTTCCAAGCTAATCTGGACTTATCCACGCCCGCGGGCCCAGACAAAATCAATAGTGATTAGCAGCTGAAATGGCCTAAATTAGACCCTAATGATGTTCTGAAGCGGTTTTTTTTTAACAAAAAAGACCCCAATTCAGAGCTAACTCAAAGGAAGTTAGAGAAGGTATTTGTTTTGGAATATGGAACATTTAGTAATAATTCCAAGTTAGTCCTATTTTGTCTCGTTTAGTACTCGTAATTCATTACGCAAATGAGGGGTTAAGCAAGTACTGAAACTTCTTTGCCTTGTCAAGTATTGCATTATGTAGAGCAAGTGGATTGCAAACCCTATGAAAACACTAAGATTATTCATCTCGGGTACGTATCTTTAAACCCAGTTTGTTTTACATCTTCATAGATCGGCTCTCTTCACTGAAATGACGCCATGTGATTAACTGTCAACAGGAGGGAAGAGTATAAGAATTTGAGGATATTTGGCTCTACGAACTTGTACGAAGTCGTCAGTGTTCCGGCGCACGATTACTTAGCGAGTATACAATAAAAAAGCTCTCTGTTGAGAAATCTCGAGAGTCGTTGGTTCCTTGGTTAACGGCTTTCTCGTTTCCCTAACGAGAAAGAGCGATTTTTTAAGGGGTTTTGACAGGAGGATTAATTGCTGTTTTTGTACAAGTACCTTTACCCATACACAAAATGTTTCTTCTGATCAGCGTTATGAAGAAGATATCAAACCAACCAGTTCACCACGGAGCACTAACCATAACATTTTTTGGTGAACTTTTTCAAGTCCATCCTTTTAATCTGTTGCAACAGACGACGAGAAACAGTTTCAATGCAAAATGCACTAAACTAGTCTTAACTGAATGACAAAAATGGACCGCTATCTTTGGAATTCAGTCGATGCGACAAAAAATTAGCTTTTCAAAAAACTTGCAAATAGCATGACAAAGTCGCTTATAGTATAAACTTGTATTCGAACTCACTTAGTGGTGATAAGCGCAGGAACGAGTCATATTTATCTTGGAAGGCCGACATTGCCACCAAAGCCAAGAACCACAGGACGGAAGACGCTTGGCTCATGAGCTTGCACAGAGGAGTCTCCATCTTCTTTCTCAGTCGGTTGGCAGGAGTGAACATGTATCCCAGCATGCAAAGTGGCATGAAAAGTGCATACAATATCATCAGAAGAAATTTCGTTCTGAAGGACAGTTGATTCCATTTTCCCGACCCCTTGTAAGCAATCGTGTTCAGCATAATTTGGCTGTAGGGATGAGCTATAAACTAAAAGACATAAACATATCAGCATTTTCGCTTTTTCGAATTCCATCTTCTTCCTGTGAACTTACTTAAAAATCAATTTCCCCCTTAGACTGATGTAGGTAGTAGGTTTTGTTTTCATATGGACGTACACCACTGAAATGCTTAGGTTCCACAGTAACTGTAACGACTCCACGAAAGCCATCACGTTAACATTAAAAGTTGATGCTCCCGGAACAATCCGTAATTCTTTATCAAAGTAACAATTTCCCTTAAGTAGCGCCCCAAATTGAAGCTTAGAAAAATACTACTGTACAGAAATGTAGTCTCTGTTTTAGAAAAGATTGTACAAACAAAGGAAAATAAATGCTGTGTTGTTTCTTTTCAGAAGATTAAGACCCTATTTAGGAAAAGCTTGCAAACTAATATTGCATATCCCGTTTGTTGGTCATGCTCGCACGTAGGTCATTTGAGGCTCCTTCCACACGTGTCCCGATATTTTTGAATCCGCAACTTTTTCTTTCCGGATACGCTATCCGTCCACACGCATTCGGTGAACCCGGCATACGAATCCGCAACTTTTTGAATCTGCTCTCCTGAGTGGAAATTTTTGATTACGCTATGAATCTTGAATCGTGTGGACGCTAAATTAAATCCAGATACTTTCTTAATCCGGTGACGTAAAAAGATTGAGCCCAGTTCTTTACCGTGAATACTGCTCAAGATGGCAACCTCGTCGCCCGGTTCTGTCTATACTTGTCGATGCAAATTGTAAGATGCAAATTTTGCTCGGTATAAGACTCATGCTCTGTTGCCAATATTCCCAGAGTGAATCTGGATATGTGTCGGATATGTGTGGACGGGCAAATTCGATTTGAATACCAATACGTGTGTACATGGAATTTTTTTAATCTGGAAGGAAAAAGTAGCAGTTTCTTTAAAATATCCGGATACTTGTGGACGGGGCTTGTATTCTGCTCCCAAACCTCCACTAGTAAGGCCCAAAAATAAAAGGCGAAAAGAAAGAATGTAACGTTATTTTAATCTATGAGGACAGAAGACTTTTCTGGTGCTTTTTCTACCTCGCGTGTGAATCATAGCCTGCGAACACAGACGTATTTCCGATCGTCCCTCAGTCTCCACTCGAACTTTTCGGTTAGAGAGAAAAGCGACGGCCGGAAATACGTCTGCATTCGCAAGTTGGGTGAATCATGGATAGCCGGAAAAAGGTTAAGTGTTTTTGCTCTCCATGCCAAAAACTACTGTTCTCTGTTCTTCATTCTTTCTTTTCGGGAATAAAACGTCTCTCTTTCATGGCCAAAAAAAGGTCTCTCCTCTTGGGATAAAAGAAAAATAGGAAGAAAATTAAAAAGCACTCTTACCTTTCTGTTGCGATATTTTATAGCGAGGTTAAGAACGCGTAATGTGTGTTCCTTTTGTCTCAATTGTACCTTCCCGTTCCATGTTTCAGCTTCCGGTACATCCATAACCGCAGCTATTTCCTCGAGATTTCTACATTCATCTAACAGACTGACTGCAAAATTTTCGCTCTGCGCGGAGAGGGCGAAATAGTCCTCACGAAATTCGTTTTCACTGTGTCCTAGTTGCTTAAGCTTCCGCCTCAGAACAATTGATCTGTACAAAGGGTCGTTCGCTTTATAACTAGAACCCTTTTTGTTCAGTTCTTTTCGCTCGCGATTCTCGTGGAGGAAAGTCTGCGAAATGTATAAGGGGCTTGCTAACGCTTTATAAGTGTTAAGCTTGAATAAAGAATCTTTAAGTCTGACCATTGATCCACTTTCACTTTGAGGTTTCTGCGTATTCGGATGGTCGACTCTGTAACCTTTGCTGACAAAGAATTCAACAATTTCATAGTTTCCGTTCAGCACAGCAAGGACAAGCGGCGTCAAAAATTCCTCGAAATTCTCTGGTCTGCTTCGATGTTGTGTTGCTGACAATTTTTCAAGCGTTTTAACAGCTGTATTTTTTCGATGTCTTGAATCGTGTGCTACAAGAATTCTGACATACTGCAACGAGTTATTCCTGACGGCTTCGAACAAGGCCGCCCCGATGTCTGCCTTATTCCGTAACAGCGTTTGAACTACATCAAACGCTTCCTTCTTCACTGCTATTTGTAGCGCCGTTTCCCCGTTGACATTTGTGCAGTCTACATCCACGTGTTTTACATTTATCAGCTCTTCCACTTCGGCTGAATTACCGCTACGAACTGCTTCAAAAAACGCTTTTTCTTCTGGGCTCGGCGAATATGGGCAGAAGTCAATCTCTTCCATTTCAACGTACTTTGTTCCCAGAGTTTCTGTTTGCGGCCTGGTTTGGTCTGCACATCCTGGCTCATCGATGTCAATATCTCCCCCTCTGTTTTCCATGGTGAACGTATTTGAAAACGTTTAACGAAATGGTCGGCGCAATTGTCAGCGCATAGTTCAGTACGTCGATGAGAAATGTGTTATACGGTTGACTTCTTATTAAAAATTGAATATGTTTGTGTATAGAGGCAATATCTATGTTTAAAATCACTCAAGTATAGCAAAACACAGACATTAAGGTGATTGTGCACATTCCTCAACAGGCCCCAGTTGTTCAAAAGGTGGATAGCGCTATCCAGCGGATAAAACACTATCCAGTGGATAGCGCAATTGGTTTCCCTAATACTTATCCACTGGATAGTAATTTATCCGATGGATAGCGCTATCCAACTTTTGAACAACCGGGGCCAGAACTAAAATTACTTGAGGGGCTTTTAACTTATTAAAGCTACGTCACCTAACACCCTGAGATACCTAGTGATCGCCACTAACCCTGTGGGAATTTTTGAGCTACAAATTGTGAGGTCGGTGTGTGCGCTAATGGAAAATTAGTGTGAGGAGTTTTGTGTAGTGTTGAAAAAATTCTGCATTTACGATTTTGCATTCCGTTGGAGGTATGTTTTATGGCGCTTACTTGAGAGAGTTGTAGGTTACATTAACAAAACACATAGGAATGGAGTAAAAAGAGCAGTAAGGAAACCGAGGAAGATTCAGCGATCATTATAGATAGCAGATGAGTAACTGTCTCTGAACTGTATTGTATACTCAAATATATTTCAATAAGAATAAACACGGAAACATGGTGCGCGACAAAGCGAAGGATAAAGGATAAACAAAGTTGTGAAACTCCCTAAAAACGCATTCTTTTTGACTGCTGGTTGAGATCTTGAATGAAAAATCATCCCATTTTCCTCGTAGCAATAGGTTTGATTTTAGTGCTCTGTGGCGAACGATTTTGCATATACTATGGGAAGACGCCATTGACAGGAAGCAGAAGATCTTAGTTAAGTCCAGTGTTGACAACTGCGGTTATAATTCTGAGAAAACGAACTTCATGTGGATTGGAAGCTGGTCAACCTTGTCAAAACCTTTTGAGGGGGCGTTGCTCCTCTGAGCCTTGTGACAATATCACGGTGACTGATGGACCTTTTTTATTTTTTCTTAAATATTTGATATTTAATAGAAATTAGAAATTTCCAGAAATCTTGGATAAACTAAGCATAACAAGATAAAAAACTTCCGTGACAGAATAAGCTCGGTTGCCAAGTAACAATATTTATCCTGATGCGGAAATTTGTAGACGTTGTTCCCGTTAGGGCTGATACACTTTTCAAAGTGATAAGTTTTTCCTGTTGATTAATATCACAATATTAAACGAAGTATTTTCGATGCAAAAACTTAACAGATTTTAACCTCTCCTTTTGTCCAAAAAGGGATGAGGGACAAAGAGGGAGGGCTGGGATAATAAGCATGGTCTCTAAAGCCCTGCTTAAATTAACGGGTCCATCAGTTAGTCGAGCTTTATCTAAATGTTCGATGAATTTGTGCTAACACCTTAATAGACTGTATAGATATTAGTGGAAATGTCGGATCAAGTTTGAACGACTTCAAACTTTTTACCTAACATTTCTTTTGCTCTGTTGTTCGCGGACCGTGCCGACCCATGTGACAACCTGTCTGCCAGTATCTGCCAGTCTTTTGAACAGCTTTGGCGACATGAATGGTAATTATTCAAAGTGGACAGACTGCAAATTATAGTAGTTGCTAAAAAACATATCTACGTGAACAGGGGTCTTTTTGCATGAGCATGCGCGGCCGCTGAACAAGTGATGTGCATGGAGGCTCTCCACAAGGTCTGCCTTCATCAAAATGGCGCGTCTCAGTGCGCCATTTAACAAAATGTGTAGTTCGCAAAAAGGCTCTAACATGGTCTTAACAAAAGCGAAGTAGATCGGCTTTAACATACCACGAGCTACTATCAAATTTCATCACCCCACTTGGACGTGCTTGTAGAATTGCGCTGACCTCATCAAAGTCTAAACAAAGTGGGAGATGACAAAACGCGGAGCCCTACTCCATGGAGTACCCTATGGAGCACCTATAATGGAGTACCCCTAAAAATCATGTATTGGTCAAATAAAATACTTTATCAACATGGTGAATCGTTTAGATGGACATACCTTTATTTATTTTGAGCTTGCCAGCCCTCTGATTGTTACAGTTTGATGTAGTCCAGGAGTTGACCGCCATCTTGAAAATTAAAATTAAACCGCTGACTACTTCAAACGGAAGGCCTACCCAGTATGGGCTGCTTGGCCCCAATCTGGTACCCAGAGTCTTCAAGCTTCTTGGTCAGATGGGCAACGCCGGGAAGACTGCCCCGCTGCAAGTGGGTTCGAAGGGCGCAATTCTCAATGACAGCTTCTTAATTCGTAAAACTCGATTCCGCAAAAAATCGAGAATTGCAACACACTGCCAACTTACATTTGAACGATACTGAAAACGTATTCCAAACCAAACAGTTCAGTCACGTTCCATCTCACATCACAAAAAACCTGTTTTGACTTGGTTGTGGGCTAGCGATGGCACGTGACCAAAGAAAAGTCATGTGATAAAAGCTAAGAAAACAATGCTAATACATATGCACGAACTTTAACCAAGACATAACAAGTAAGGGGCAGGAGGATTTGGACAATTGTGGGTACCTATGGATAAATCCTGGCTACGCCTTTGGAGTGCAGAAGCAGGTTGGACTGCATGTTATTCGACCGGGCAAAGAAGTAGCGCGTATTCCATAGAATCTTTTATCTAGTATCTAACTATTTCACTTAGCGCTTTTTTTATTTCTTCAATACGCTATCACTTTAGAAATTTGTTTTGCACAAACCTTGTAAGTTCTAGAGCTAAGTGTTTCCAAGCATGGCGTAGCATGAAGACCTTCCTTTACAGAAGGGCGTGTTGTCGAGATAAATTTAAACAATCTTTTTTTTAAACTAGAAATTTACTTTAAATATTATACTAAATTATATTTTTTTAAGGTTTTATTTAATTTACTTGAAGTTGAACTTTGATGGGAAATTTTAGGATTTGAACATTTCATATTTAATTGTACAAATTTTTAAGATTCATTTTTTTATGTTATTGATGTGAAGCGCTTGCGGACTTTTTAGGAATAAGCACTATATGAATAAATTATTATTATTATTATTATTATTATTATTATTATTATTATTATTATATTTTTTTATTCAGTATTATTTTGCAGTATTACGTAAGAATGCAAACTGTTAACCACGTATGACGCACAGCGTAGCTTATGTGGCCTAAAAGGAACTAACTTATCTAACTTACTCTAGGAACGGAACTTTGATATGAAATATTACATAGGCAAAATTTAAAAAATTAGTAATGAAACAGAAACATAAAAGTAAAGATTATAAAGTACAACTGATAAACAAAGCAAAAAATGATATTACAACAGTACAACACTACTTAACACAACACAACACTACTTAAACAACAATTGCCTTGAAATTATTATCATTATTATTATTATTATTATTACTATTGTTGTTGTTGTTGTTATTTTGCTATTTTGAAGTTGAATGATTCAGTTTGGCTTTGAAAATTGGCCCCTCATACCATCCTAGTGGCGGCAAATGACCAAGTTCACACCATGACATCATCATGATTTCCATGATCTGGACTCTTTTTAGGTTTCTTGTCATGTGTTTCCACGCCGGTTTTCTAAACATTTAAAAAAAAAACATTACGGATGGAAAGATATCTTGAGATTGACCTCATGTTGGGATACCTACAGTCGACTCTCCATAACTCGAACCTTCAAGGGAAATCAAAAAAATTTTGATTTATCGGGAGCTCGAAGCAAATAGCCAGAAGTAACCGAAAAACCGGATTTTACTTTAATTACAATGAACATTTTTATCACATTTAATTGTAGAAATTTGAAATGAAAATTGAAAGATACTTCTAGATGGTAAAAAATAAGAACGTAAGGTAACAAAACATAGCCTAAATAAAGCATGTTTACTTTTTTGAGACGAAAAGCTGTTTCACGTTTTGTGACAAACAACATCAGCCTACAACACTGCGTCAAATGATATGGGATATTCACTGAAATTCAATGTTTCGGGCGCCAGTACACTGCTTTTTTCCCCCCACTTTTTAAGCGCTCAAAACATGGTTCGAGTTATCGAGGCTAAAATTATAATAGAAATGATCTGAGGGGAAACAAAAATTACTTCGAGTTAGCGGGAGGTTCGAGTTATCGAGGAATCGAGTTACCGAGGGTAAAATTACAGTAAATGTATGAGGGAAATCCAAAGGAAATTGATTTTGGTTCGAGTTAGCGCGAGGTTCGAGTTAGCGAGGGTTCGAGTTTTCGGAACTCTTTATTAAGATTTCGGGCGACAAAACTCAGCATTTTAACATAACTTCAGGCGACTTGATCGGTAACCCTATGCCCATACGAGTCTGTTCGAGCGGAGTTAATAAATTGCAATGGTTATGAAACCCGTCTGACTTCTTAGTCAAAGGATTCTGGCCTTGATCGTCCACATCTTTCAACAGTGGCAATGTTGTTTTTCATTTTTGGTGTTTGCTAATTTTTATAGCAATTCTTTTGTACTTAGTATCGTTTGGGATTGTTCAAAAAAAGTCAACGAATTTATCCCTGTGCTTATTGATCCAGTCCAAAGACAGTATCTGACGATTGACAATCTACTGTTTTCCCGAACAAAAAACACACAAAAAAGTTGCCATCACTTAAGGCATCCTCCGGGATGGAGAATTAAAAATGGCTGAAATGGGGCTCACCTGATTAGCCATCAGACAAGTAGCCTGTTCCAGGCACTCAGATAGTAGGGAAGACGCGAAAAAGTAAAAGGCACGCACAGCTGGCGGGGCGGGAAAAAAGAAAAAGGAAGGGAGAGAGAGTTAGGAGCTGGTATACCGGAACAGGTCATTTAAAGAAATGATTGCAGGCTCCGCCGCTCCTTCTCTCCCCAGTTTCCTTCCGTTTTATTTTCGTGTTCGCGCTTTCTCAATTCAGCGGGGCCCGACT